AGCCCCTCTCACGGGATGAGCCAAAGGAGCCTGGCTCATCCCAGGGGTCTGTCTCCCAGCACACTGCAACCAGGAACTCCCTAACTTGGTCCCAGAGTCGCACCAAGCAACCAGGCAAGCACCACAGGAAAATAAATGGGGCAATACAGGAACCACCTTCAGCCTTAACCCAGCACACATCCACACGTATAGGAATATATCCTATCCGTAAACATATCCTATCCAATATATCCTGGGCACACCTCCACTGCACCCAGCTGCCCAAAATCCAGGGCTGCAGACACAAATCCAAAATAATAGTGAAGATGATCCTTCCCCAGCACATTGAGGACGGTCAAGGTATGGGAGTGAGCGCCAGGCACAACTCCCACTTCCCTCGGACAAAGAGCAGAGCTGACACCACAGCCTGAGATGGCAATGATTCCCAAACATGATGGCAAGGGTGTGCCCAGATGATGGGAAGAGGGGCCCAAAGGGCATGATGGCGATGAGGAGAGAGGATGCAACCTGTAGTTCAGGTGTGCTTCCTCAACATCTAACCCATCACACTTCACATTTCCAGCAGCCATCACAAGGGATGACGGGATTTTTGCAAGGAGAATATGCACCAGAACAAGCACTGGTTTTGCAGGGCAGTCCAGCCACGAATTCCAGCTTTCCCTGGGAACAAAACCAAATTCCAGACTTACCAGCACTGCCATTCAACAGCAGGGAGCCAGGCGTTACAGAGCTGAGCATCAATGCCAGCCACAGCTCTGCCCCCTTCATGTGCTCCACTGGGTCTCATCATCATTCCTAGCCCCAATCCCAAATGGATTCATACACGTCAATCCCAAAGGAGCAGGGATTGCTCCCTGTGCCAAAAACAAAGCCTATGACCCAGAGCTGCATCAAGAAGTCCTGTTTTGGCAGCACTGGGAGTGAAATTGTCCGTGGCCGGGTGTTTGGAACAATGCTGGTCTTTGGAGTGCTGGCGTCATCCACGTTCCCGCTCCGCTGGGGCAGGGTGGTGACAAAGCCACTGCTGCTGGAATCCAGGGGTTCTTCCAGCCCTCCTGCCCCAGGCAGCAAACATACCCTTCCTCTTCAGAGTAAAGAAGTGGGGGATAAATCTGTGAAAATTGCAGCTAGGCTGAAAACCTTCAAGGAAAATTGGTTTGGCTCCTTGGGGATAGGCTAGAGAAGGAACTGCAGAGGGCCAGCAGAAGAGATGTCCCAAGGCTGGACTAAGAGGAGAAGGGAGAATTTCCCCCTGGCTTGCTGTTGGTAACAGGAAATCTTGATGGTCCTGAGAAGGATGAAGGGATGGCAGGAAGGGCATGTTCCAGCCCAAACCACCACTTACCCATTAAAAGAAGAAAAATTCCATAATTTTAGCATCCAAGCAACCAAGGGCAGCATGAAAGGCAGCCTTCCCCACACCAAACTGATGACCCAAACCTGGAGCCATTATTGCAAACATCTCCACCTTCTCCATCAGTATTCCCAAACAAACCAATCATCTCACATCCCTTTCCTAGGACTCTGCTCCCGCTGCAAACCAGCCTTCCCTGCCACTGCAGGATCTCCAAAAACCCTACTTCTGGAAGTTTTGCCTCCTCCATGACACGGGAGAAATGCAACCTGTGTGGACAGAGGGTAAGGACACTCCCCATTCCTTGGGATTTTATCACCCTGGAGAGAGCAGTGCTGCTCCCAGGAGGAAAAAGCCTGGTAGTTCTGCATTTGCTGAGCAGCAGCACAGGCTGCAGGAGGGGCTCTTCCACGGAGGTTTTGAGAACCCGGCATCTCCATTCCCGACTCTCCTAAACCTGCCTGTAGAAACGAAGAATTTTTCAAGGCGAAAACCGACCATTTTGGAAGGAAAACGGGACCTTTTTGCTTTCGCTCTGCGGTCCCCAGCGCCACCAACGTGGCCAATGTGACAGCCCGAGGGGGCAGAGCTCACCCAGTCCCGCTCCCAGCCTCCACATCCCCATCCAGAGGGAAGCCCAGCGGCCGCGGGTGGGCAAGCCTGGGGAAAAGGACAAAGGAGGGGACACAGGCAGGGACTGCTCCGGCCAGCCGAGGCGCCCCGGCCGGCTCCAGGGCCCCGTTCCCCGAGCCCGGCAACATCCTCCCGCGGTGACGCAAGGCCGGCGGAGGAAGCCGGGACGTCACGGGAGGCCTGGGGCGTGGGAAGCGCGTGCACACGCATCCATCCCCACGCATCCATCCCCACGCATCCATCCCCACGCATCCATCCCCACGCATCCATCCCCACGCATCCATCCCCACGCATCCATCCCCGCGCCACTGCCCACGGCAGGGAGGCCTGCCAGCTGCTCCGCGGACGTGGGACCCACGCCCCAGCACCCACGGCACGGGCCTTGCGAGGGCTCCTGGGGAACGGGAAGGATGGGGGGGGTTGCGTGGATGGGGTTGTAGGGTGGGTGCTACGTGGGTTTGGCCGCTGCAAGGATGGGGGGCTGCGTGGGGGTGGGCGGGCTTCCCATCGGGAGAATCGTCTCGCTGGGAAAAAAAGCAGCCTTGCAAGCCGGGCTAGCGAAATAACGATGGGAAAGGAGCGGTGGGTGGGGGGAAGGAACCCCCGGCGTCCTGCCCAGCCCGACCCGGGGAAGAGGAGCCCGGCGGGACCTACCTGCTCCTCCTCGGCGCTGAGCTCCGCGGCCATGCTGCGCGCCGGGCCGGGCCGAGCCGGACCGAGCCGAGCCGGGCTGGTCTAGGCGGAGGGCGCCCCGGCGGAGCCCATCCCCGGCGCTGCGGGCACCGGCCCCTCCCGGCGGCGAGGGCGGCTCCGCCCCGGGGGCCCCGCCGAAAGTGCCGAGAAAATTAAAATAAAATGGAAAAAAAAAAAAAAATTAAATCTCTCTATATATATGTGTGTGCGTGTATGTGTGAGCCCCCCCGGGAAGTTTGGCTCGGCCCGGGAGCGCCGCTCCGCTGGGCCGGGCCGAGCCGAGCTCCCGCCCCGCTCCGCTCTGCCCCGGCGGGGGCGGCGGCAGGAAGCGCCCGCAGCCCCCGGTCCCTCCTCCCCGTCCCCTCCCCGCGCTCTGCCGACCCCGCAGGGCGGGCGGGGGACAGGAAGCCCTCCCCGGCGGGGGTGGGGGGCGAGCGGGGAGCAGCAGCCGGGATGGGGCCGGAGGGGCCCGGTCCTCCCCCCGCTCCGCGCCGGTTCCCCCAGCCCCGGTTCCGGCTGCGGCAGGCGGGAGCACCGCCGCTAAAATGGTGGCAGCATCCTCCTCCTCCCTTCGCTGGTGCTGGGTAAGATTCCCGGCAGCCGCATCCTCCCTTGCTCTTACTGGGTAAAATTCCCGGCACAGCATTCTCCCTTGCCGGGATTCCAGCCTCGCAGCCTTCCCCCCACGAGCCGGAGTCCGGGGTTTCCAGGCGTCTCTTTCCACTCCCTCCTCTACGATCCCTAAATTGCATTTCCCAGCTGAGCGCAGGTGTCAGCGCCTGGATGGAGAGTCCCGAAGCTCCTCCGGGAAGGAGCGGGGATCCCGGGAAGCACAGCAGCGGTCGCTCCATAAAGCCAGGCCCTGGGACAAGGGGACATTTTGTTCAGCCGAGGAGCACTGTGCTGGCAGCGTGCCTGCAGCCGGAGCCTGTGCACCTAACCGGGAGAAAATGGAAGTAGGACAGAGGGAAGGGACTGAGCCCCGGCTGGATGAGGGCTCCCGGCTGGCTCCGACCCCCAGCGCCCCAGGCCACGTCTCCAGGTCCAGCTGCCTGCTCAGCTCTCCTGCCCCAGGCCAAATTTCAGCCCCCGCTGGGGTGACCCCTCCAGTGGAGCTGCTGCCTGTTCCAGCTGGGAGTGGGATCACACCCAGCAAACAGAACAGTCACGGCACCGAACTGCGTTGGCCCCTGCGACTTCCGTTTAACACCCTCCCTCCAAAAACAGCCTTTCGTTCCCAACAGGAATTGTAACGCAAATATTTATTTCTCCAGCTCAGCTCATGCTTTTAAAAGGGAAACTATGAGGCATCATCTGGAGCCGGCGGGAAGCTGCAGCCGCTTCCCTGTTGCTCTCCATCAGCGCACACAGCCCCTCTCCGGCAGTACTACCTCTCCTTCCCTCGCTGGAGGACCTTGGAAGACTGCTGGAGGGCAGTAACCTGAGCTGCAGCTTTCTCTGCCCTAAGGGATGCACAAATCTTCCATCCAGATGCCCACCTCCGTGTTTAATTGCCCGACGGAAGGAAAGGCGTGCTGACAGGAGGCTGAATGCGGTCTCCCGCTCAGTGCTCTCCCTGCAGATATCTGCCAGCCAGGGAGCCTGAAGGTGGGAACCTTTGAGGGATGGGGAGGTTAAGGCAGCCCAGGTGCTCATCCTCTTTCCCTGGGCCAGCTGCTTCATATGCTATAAAAATAACACTGAAAACAATAAATTTATTGAAAGAGACAGCTCCGAACGCTGTGGGGCCAGGGTTCCCCTTTCCCTGCTGGGGAAGGGGAGCAGAGGGCAGCCCCCTCCCACAGCCAGGCCAGTTCCTGCTGCCCACTGGTATCATCAATAGCGGCTGCACAGCCAGATGGTCACACACAGTCTGCACAGAAACCCGGCTTTTCTGGGAAAAACACAGGGTGCAAGGGCAGGATACAAGTACACCCCTATCTGCAGGTGGCCATCCCCACTCTCACTATCTCCTTTGGGGCATTTCCATAGAGAGCTGGGAGAAGGGTCTCAAACACTGCCTTGAGCTTGATGTTTCATCTCTCTCCTTTTCATCCCCCTCTGGAAACCAACCTGGGGACAGTGAGAACAATCATTTCATCCCCCTAAAACCAGGCAGGGGGAGCAGCCGGTGCTTAAAAAGTGGGATTGGGCTGGGATGAGAAAGACAGGACAAAAAACTGAAGTACCTCGATGTGCAGAGAATTAAACCCACGCAAGCGTTTCCTCTGCTCCAGTCAGCACTGGAACCAATTTTTCAATCCCTATTTGGGAGGCACAGCACGCATCCACCCTTAGGTAGCAGGAAGACGCTCAAGAATTTGTCTTTCTGAGAAACCTTTTATTTGGCACGATCAATGGTAGCGTTTTTCAGAGCGAACCCATTCCTTCCTCCCCCCACTGAGAAAAGCCTCGAGGAGAAAGAGGCTTCTGCTGTGCGTGCACCGCACAAAGCCCTGTTCCGAGGCAGGTCCTGCTGCAACGCAAGGAAATTTAGATTTTCCCAAGAAGGTGTGGCTGTGGAAAGTCCAGCCTTTGGATTTACAGCAGCTCACTGCAAACTTGTTGTTAGTAACAACTTCCATTGAAAAGGCCTCAGAAGACAGCTGGATCAAAGGCTGACAAGCCCCGATTTCCAGGGCTGGGAAGGTGGGGCTGCTGCAAGGGTCACAAGCACCAGCTGCACCTCAGAGGTCCAAGCACTGTTCCTATGCTGGAGTTTTGCCAAGATTCTAACAGAAGCAGGGTCAGGAGCTGAACTGTATCCTTGTGCTATGGGGACAGATCATTTCCCAGCTGCTTTAGCGAAGAACCAGACAATCCTGTTAAGGCCTCACAGAAGTCCTGGCAAAAAGTATGTAATAACAACAAATAAAAAGAATCCAGCAACACCTGAGGCAAGATATTCCACTGTCATCCCCTTTAACAAAGCCATCCTATCATCATTACTCTGCCCCCTCTCAGTAACACGAGGCACAGTGAGAAGCAGGGAGCCTTTTCCCTGCTCCCTGCCCAACTGGCCTGTCCCAGCAGTTTAACTCTCCATCTGGCTCACTGCTCCATCCCGGCCCTCTGGACACGTTTCTGGCTGAGGGGTGGACAAGTGTTCCAGCTCGTAGTGTCCGTTCCTCGCAGCCACCTCGCAAGGGTGGCCCTTTTCCTCCGCCAGTTTTTTACTCCTCTTGCTCTCGATGATCTGCTGGAGCTGCCGCCCGGCATAGTCCGGCTTGGCCGTGAGCACGGTGGCAGGCACGGTGAGCCCCAGGATCTCAGGGACCATGTAGGGCCGGAGCCAGCCCACCAGCGGGGTGCTGCCAGGGGTGTAGTGGGTTTGTTTGTGGTAGAAAAGCAGCCCGTCGACCTGTGGGCAGGACAGAGAATGAATGAAAGGGCAGAGCTGAGGCTCCTGCAGGTGAATGACCAGGCACCAGACAATGGCTCTGCTCTCTGTTTGCTGGCCAAAACCACCAGCTGGATCATTTTTCCTCAAAGCAGTGCAATAAATAGCGGAAGGGAAAGAAGAAACCTGCAGAGCTCCTGCCCTGAAAGATCAGCGGCTCCCAGATGGCTTTAAATTGTTAAAGGCAAATGAGTCCAGTGTGGTGTCAGCACAGAGCAATGTCCTCTGGATGTTTTCATCCCATTCTGCAGAAAAGCCAGAGAGTTTCTGAATAAGGCAGCCCACTTTACTGATTAGGGTTATTTTAAATAATACATTTGGAAGGTAATTAGCCCGAGTGTGTGACGCCAAGGAGCCCCGATTCCTAACAGCTCTTTCAACTGGCTTATGCCAAAAAATTTCTTAATGTTTCCCAGGAGAGAGCTTCTCTTAGCAATCAGTGACAGTTAAGGGTACTCAGGACTTTAAAGGTTTAGGTCCTAACTCTTGTGCTACTATTTCCACACTCTGCAGTGCTGCAGCTGGCTGACGTTTTCCCCACTTCCCCACTGTGCTCAGGGATTCTCATCCCCCCTCTTCCCACACTTCCCAGGGGTGTGCTCTGTGAGGCTGGATCCTGCTGTCAGGCTGACTAATGCTGGAGGTGGTGCTCCTCTTAGCTCAGCTTCACAAGCTCTTAAAAGGCCATTTGGCTATGAGGAAAAGTGGCTGAGTGGGCAGAAGAGGGGAGAACAAGAGCCCACTTCAGGAGGAACTGCTCTCAGGCCCCTCCCTGATCCTACAGCCCCCAGAATAGAAACACTGGCTGAGCACCAAGCAGCATATATCCACTTCTACTACACAGATGCTAACCTCTGGCAGAGAGGGTAAAACTTCTGGCAATATTCTGTCCAAAATTTTCAGTCACTGTTAACATCTTGCAAAATAATCACAGAAAAAGGGGGATTTCTGTGCTAGGAAAATGTAAAACCAGAACAGTAAACATCATGATGAGCTTGTGCAACCCCTCTGGATATACAAAGTGAAAAGCTTTTCCCCCACCCTGCCTCCCAGGAAGAATCAGATTCTGCAGCACTCCAGCATATCCAGCCCATTCCTGCGGGTGCATGGCACTTGGTGAGCAATGGGGATTCTCCGGCACCCACAGGAATGTTTTGGTAAAGATCAGAGCCTGGAAAGGCCTTCCGGATCACTCCAAATACCTTCCCCAAGCTAGAGAATTCAAAGGAGTTCAGCCTGGTGGAGTTAGGTCATGTTCTCCATTGCCTGATTTAAGTGACTCCTGTATTCTTTCTCGTTTATTTAATTTGTTGGCTGGGTCCCTACCCTGAGTCACCACAGTGACAGTGGCCACATGAGAACAAGGACTGACGCTGTCCCTAAATGACCGAACCTGAGGAGAGACTGGCCTGGCAGGAGTTAACATTCCACAGCCATGTTTTCCAGATTTTAGGTGCTTAACAGTCCTCCCATTCCTAAACATCAGGGTTTCTCAGAGGCTTTGGCTCCCCTGCCTCTGTGGAAAGCATGGTTTTACTCAGATCTGTGAGAAAGACAGTAGCTCTTAAGATCCACTCCAAAAACCACTTGAGATTCAGAGCCAGTCAACTGATCCAAAGTCTACTGAATTCTGGGGAATAAGAGTCCACTGGATAGAGTGGATCAGGCATTAGCTCCGAGGTTACAGATTAACCCTGAAGACCTGGATCTAAAAGCACTGACCTCCTCTGTGGCCACCACACACACAGGATCCCTGTCAGGCTCAACAGATGCTGGGTCCAGACCTAAGACCACCTCTGTTACCTTTCATCCATAGTCAGGATGTATTTTGCCTCCTGTAAAGTTTATTCTGCTCTACGCCCATGGTAGAAGGTTTTTAGGGATTTTTGGGCTCCCTCTTGTGGCACACCGCAGAGACCCACAGCTCCCTTCTTCCTGGAAGAAGCACCAAGGTTCCTGTGCTGTTGGGGCTGCTTTGGGCCAACCTACACCATGCTTTGCTTCTTGGGGTCACATCCTGATACAGCAGAGGGCCTGGAGGGGGAAAATCACCACTGGATGACACAGCTGGAGTCTGTTCAGCTCCATCTCCTGCTCCACAGTTTCACAACAGCCTCTTCTGTAGCATACAAGTTTGCTGCTCTGACTGCAGCGGGCAAATGCTCCTCAGCTTTACCTCATGGGAGCAGATGCCTCAGGAAGGAATGAAGACTTTACGTGGGAAAACCAGGAATGACTGTTTTTACAGAGGCACTCGGAGCATTTATTATTGAGCAAGCCAGCTGTAAGAAAGCTGGGAAGCCCCTTCAATCCATGTTCAGAGCAGGGTCTGGCAAAACCAGCGAGGGGCTGGGACTTTCCAACTTGTTCTGATGACTGTCTTGGCTTTCACAAGCAGAAAGCAAAGCCAGCCCTCACAGCCAAGTTAGTGGTCTTAACTTAAACCTACACTATTTTAATGGCTAACTCAGGACTGGAGAGCATGAGAGACACTGTCACATCAATGTGGCTTTTGGCTTCTTGTGGGACAAGAAATCTCTGTGGAAGTTGTTCCTGACATCAGGCTGAGACTGGGCATTCCCAGAAACAGCCTGCAGCCACTGGAGGAGCTTCTGGCTCACAGATGTTGTCACTGTCACTGGGTTGGAATGCCACTGCCTCCCCTATTCCCTTCCCTTGCAGTGACAAGTCAGCCAGGGCAGGCAAAAGCAGCCAGAGCTGATTCCACAAGGGTCTGCAACTCACTGCTCACAACCACATGGAACAGAGCTGGATGGCACATGGATTTTCCTGTTCTGACCTTCCCCAAAGGGCAGAACAGCACAGCAGCTGTGTCAGGGGAAGTTTAGAGTGGATATTAGGAAAAGGTTCTTCCCCCAGAGGGTGGTCAGGCACTGGAATAGGCTCCCCAAAGCAGTCATCAGCCCCAAGGCTGCCAGAGCTCAGGCAGCCTTTGGACAACACTCTCAGGCCAATCTCAACAATCTCAGGTGGGATTCTTGATGCAGGGCCAGAGCTGGACTTTGATGCTACTAGCAGGTCCCTTTCCACTTAATCTTGTATGATTCTACTTTTAAAGCTGATGAAGCAAACACAGGTGTCCTGCTCAGTCATTTCTGTCACAGCCAACTGTCCCCAGCTCCAGTACACCTCAGGCACCCATCGTGAACCCCCCAGAAACCATTGGGAACTTACCACCACCCTTCTTCTTCCTCCCCAAAAAACAGCCAGGTGCCTTGTTGGGAGAACCAACGCCATGCAGGGCAGTGGTCAGTACCACTTTTGGCCCTAAAAAGGTCAGCTGTCCATCACACTGCTATGTGAACCTGAGTTGTGCTGCTTCTGGAAGCAGCCTGAGTGTCCTCTCATCCCAAAAGGCTCTTTCAGGCACAGCCAACTGCAGCAAGGGCAGCGCAAACTCAGGGAGTGCCATGGTTTAACTCTTGCCCATTTGTGTGGTTGAATGAGGTTGGTGAAAAGGCAACAGATCAAACACAGGCATAAAGGCATCCATCCCACATACAGGAAACAGCAACTTGGCAAACTTTCTGCAGCCTCAGGAGAGCAAATTCCCAAAGAGAGGAGATACACCTCTCTCCCAGAGAGAGCTGGCAGAGCTGTTGCTAAGGCTGGGGTCCAGGCTCCCACCTGTGTGTTCTCACCTCGAAGGGAAAGTCTGTAGCCAGCAGCTCACACAGGCTGTCCGAGGAGCAGGGGAAGTTCTGCAGGCCCACAAATTTGTACTGAAAGAGAAAGAGAGGGTTAGAAGAGGCAACTTTCTGGTCTACAGGAGAACAAGCTGCTGAATCCAGCGCTGGTGTGCAGGCAGCTAAGAAGGAAGGATTCCTCTGGTGCAGGATCTGGCATAAGAGGGAAAGGGTGAGGAGCAGCTCCCACGTACTCCTGATACCTTTTTTCCCAAGCACCTAAGACTGCATGAAGGACTTTTCAGGATACCTGACCCAGAATTGCTCTTCTAACCAAAATAGAAAATGATGACCTCCGGGCAGGATGCAAAGCAGACAGATGTCTGCTCCAGGCTGCTGGCTCAGCCAAGCAAATCTTTCCACCCAGGAAATGAAAGCTGAAACGAACCCCCCCTTCATTAGGTAGTTATCTTCTGGATATTCCTGTTGGGAGTCAGGACAGGATGTTCTCTGAACACAGACACCCTCACTGCAGTCAGCTCAATTTATCACTGAGATGCTCAGCTCACAGGAGCTGCTCTGCTTGGCTGTGTCTGAGCAGACAAATCTCTCGTGTCTGTGCCCAAAAATCACGTTCCCTGCTGCAGTGGGCTCTAGGTCTGACCCCCATCTGTAAGTCTTCAAAGACAACTTTTTATTCTGGCTCAGCAAGGACTCTGGGTGGCAAGCCAGCATTCATCCTGACAACTTCAATGATCAGTTTAAACAGAGGGAAGGCTTAAAGCTTTACAAACCCACAAGACTGCAAGAATAAACCCCATTGTAGTCAGGCTGCCAACCAATGCTGCTCCTGAAGAAACCACACTGTTTTCCATTCCATTACAAGGGGAAGCTAAAAACAGCATGGAAGTTAGCTGATACCCTGCAGGGTGATCTCCCTCAGCACTTTGGATAGGGGGATAAAACCCCACTGAACTCATTTACAATATGCAGTGGTTCTATTTACATCCTGACCATGGTATCCCATTTCATAAGAGCTACACTTTGAAGCCTGATCTGTGAGGGGAAAGGAAGAAAAGGAAAAAAAGCTTCCACTTGTGAAAGAAACTGCTGAAGCCTGCTGAACAGGAGAGCTTCCCCCCCCAGCCTTCTTCTGAGTACAAAAGGACTTACTGGATTAATCCTGCTTTTCTCTCCCAGCCCTTCCTCCTCTTGGATTTTTGAGGAGAGCCAGAAGAATCTGAAGTCAGTCTGTGAAAGGAGCCAGAGTTAGTGACCATTCACCACTCATCACCTGACAGTATCTGCAGAGTGTCTCTGTTCTTCTGCACTCAACTGGGAGATTTACAAACTTAACTTCATTTGCAGAGACCCCAAACCCTGCTGCTCCCCCCAGAACATGTACACAGTTATCCAGCAGCCCTAAAGCTGTAAAGATGCTGGTGCTTAGGAGAAATACCCACCTTTTGCAGAGTGAGCTACATGCAGTGCTGGAGCAAAGCAGCTCAGGAAACACCAGGGAGGGCAGGGACTCAGTACCTGGCAGTCATAAACAGGGTGTCCTCTCCAGCACATCACGTCCAGGATATAGTAGGTCTGCTTGGCCTCATTGTAGATGCAGTCCAGGATGCTGTACACTGCACACACAAACACAGGGAGGTCCAGACCTGCTCCAAACACTGTCCAACCCAGCTGGCAAATACCAGGTCCCAGCTCTCCAACATTAATCCTGCCCTGATGCGAGACTGCAGTGTGCAGAGGGATCCCCTTCTGCTAACAGAAACTGCAACCACAGAAGGCCTTGAGCTTGAGGAGTCCCACAAGGCTGCAAAGAGTCCAGCCAGAGGCACAACAAGTAAGGGCATGTTTCAGAAAATGGTATTTGCTGGACAATAAGCCTCTCTTTATGGGGCAAAAAAAATGAGTTCCAAGAGGTATTAAGGAAGATGACACCATACAAAGGTTAGAGGACAGAGGTTGTCGGGGTTTAAGAGTGTCAGTCAAACAGGAAGCTTATTAAAAGATGTGGCAGGACATGGGACAATGGTTTTATCTGGAAAAGGGCAATTTTAGATCAGATGTTAGGAAGAAATTCTTTCCTGTAAAGGTGCTGAGTCCCTGGCGCAAGTTGCCCCGAGCAGCTGTGGCTGCCCCATCCCTGGAAGTGTCTAAAGCTTGGAGCAACCTGGTTTAGAGGGAGGTTCCCTGTCCTTGGCAGAACAGTGGAACAAGATGAGCTTTAAGGTCTCTTCCAACCCAAACCATTGGGGGATTCTATGTGCTTATCTAGCATAAAGGCATCTGATATTGTTCCCATCTAGTTATCTCCAGAGATACAGAAACAGGCCTGAAGCTGACCACCCCCAGCACAAAAAAGGGGCACAGCTGTGGGACTTGGGGGAACTGCAGGAACAACATTGTGCCTGTCAACACACACAAACTCCCAGGCACTTCCTATCTCTCTATCCCAAATGCCTCCTCACACCTGTACCTTTGTCACTGGTTGAGTTGTGCCGGTTTCCCCCTGGCAGCAGGGATGGGAACCTGTTGACACAGAAGCCACTCTTGGTGTAAGCTGCTGTTGTGCCCTGTGAGGAAAAAAAGAGAAAAAACCCAGTCAAGCCAGTTTTATGTTGGCTGTGAATAGGTACAGGTCCTTTAGCAGCTGGTGGAAGCCCACTTACCCTGGAGGCCACAACAAGAGCCCTTTTCCCGACGGGACACACCACCACAACCCACTCCTGCTCCAGATCTGAGGGGACATCTACCAGCCACTCTGACAGCATCAGCTATGGAGAGTCCAGGGGGAAGAACCAGTCAGTAACAAATCTCTTGAAGTTATGGACAACAGCTCAAGGGTAAAGCAGGGAGGTTTTGACTTTGCTTTGATGGCTACACTGGGTACGTTAGAGGCAGTTGGCACTGCCTGTCACCCACCAAAGGGCTTCTTCCTCCCCTCTAATGAAGTCCAACCTGCCTAACACATTCTTCCCCAAGTCCTTCTCTTGCTTCCCAGCTGCTGACTGAGCTTCAGACTACAGCACAGGGCTCACAGCCCTTGTTTGGGCAGCCCACACCTTGGTCCCCACTCCAACACTTTATTTTTAAAAACATAGCAGGGATTAGAGATTTCAAAATGTTAGGAGTAAAGAGCCTGGACAAGTTGACCTCTTCAGAGTGCCTAAGTGGCTGTGTGTTATCTAGGACCAATACAGCACCCAGGCTGATGAAACCCAGCTGAGTTTGCCTTTCTTTCCTTTCCAAACACAGGGAAAAACAGAAATCTTTAGCTGAATACTGCCTAACGGGTTACTCATGCTTCTGGCTGAGCTGAAATCTCCTAAAGTGGAGAACACGGTGATGCTGAGGCTGGAATCAGTGACCTTTGAGGTCTTTTCCAGCCTAAGTGATTCTAAAGCACATGCCATATCCATGTGTTCTCCATTTGAACTTAGAGTGTTCTGGAGGTGAACTAAGCACAGTTTCTCTGCGAGCACCAAGCCAGGCCAGACACACTCCTCTCAGTCTCCAAATGGCCACCACCGGGGCCTCAAACCACCGTACACCCCTGCCCCATGAGGATGGCTCCTCACCTGATTGGCGTAGCGCTTGGGCAGCTTTTTGCCAGCATCCACGTCCATCGCCTCTTCCTCCGCATCTTCCCCTTCTCTGTCCTCGTCCTCGCTCTCCACCCCTGCCCAGTCGTCCTCCGCCAGCCTTCTGGCATGGTTCACGTAGTCCAGCCGCCTCCTGGGGTCGAGGAAACAACCGGGCGGGCAGGCAGGTCACCCACGGCACGCACAGCCCGGCCCGCTCCCCACAGGCAGCCCCGGCCCGCTCCCCACAGGCAGATCACCCCGGCCCTCTGCCCACAGGCAGCCCAGCCCGGCCCGCTCCCCACAGGCAGCCCCGGCCCGCTCCCCACAGGCAGATCACCCCGGCCCTCTGCCCACAGGCAGCCCAGCCCGGCCCGCTCCCCACAGGCAGCCCCGGCCCGCTCCCCACAGGCAGATCACCCCGGCCCTCTGCCCACAGGCAGCCCAGCCCGGCCCGCTCCCCACAGGCAGCCCCGGCCCGCTCCCCACAGGCAGATCACCCCGGCCCTCTGCCCACAGGCAGCCCAGCCCGGCCCGCTCCCCACAGGCAGCCCCGGCCCGCTCCCCACAGGCAGATCACCCCGGCCCTCTGCCCACAGGCAGCCCAGCCCGGCCCGCTCCCCACAGGCAGCCCCGGCCCGCTCCCCACAGGCAGATCACCCCGGCCCTCTGCCCACAGGCAGCCCAGCCCGGCCCGCTCCCCACAGGCAGCCCCGGGCCGGCGTAACGCGTCCCGCGCTCCCGTCCGCCCGCTGCGGCGCTCACTCTCTCTGGATGCGGAGCAGGCGCTGCCGGCGCTCGGCCTGTCCGGGGCCGCCGCGGGGTTTGTAGGCGGCCAGCCGGGGGTGCGGCGCGGCCGGGCTGCAGGGCCCCGCCAGCCCCACGCCCGCCGCCAGCGCCGCGCTCAGCTCCTCCATGGCAACCCCGCGGCCGCCGCGCTTCCGCCCGCGCCGCTCCCCCGGCCGCAGCGCCACTGCGCGGCGCGGAGGCCCCGCGCCCCCACAGCCCGCTCGGCCCGTGCCTCAGTTTCCCTCGGGCACCGGGACGGGGCGCTGCGGGCCGGGACCGGGCACGGGCGAGGGGGACACCCCGGCAGGGACGCGGGAGCGGCCGCAGCCCCCGCGGGCGAGGATTCGTGCCCCCGGGGCCGGCTGCCTGCAGAGGGCAGCGTGCGCCGGGCCGGGCCGGGCCGGGCCGGGCCGGGCCGGGCCGCTCCCCGCCGCGGACCGGGCGGCGGAGCGGGGAGCGCGGCGCTGCCCTGCGTCACGGGAGGCTGGCGGCCGGCTCCGCCACCCCTTCGGCAACGGGAGCAGCCCCGGCAGCGGCAGCGGAGCAGCCCTGGCACTACCCCGCCATAGCCAGTGGCAACGGGACCGGCCCCGACACCGACACGGGCACCACCGCCTCCGTCCTGCGTGAGATTTACGGATTTCGGGGAAAAACCAAACGCCACCAACCATCAGGAAAGTCGGCCCGGGAAGGAATTGCAAAATCCCGGGATCACCGGGAGGTTTGGCAGGGTTTGGGGTCGTTCCCGGCGCTCTCTCAGCCCCCACCGACGGGAAATTTAGGGTGTTTTATCCACAGGAGCCCCGAGAAAAATCGCTGTGGATTTATTTCCTCGTTGGCAGCCAGGGGTTTTCCTCCCGGAGAGTGAAACCTCGGGATCAGCCTCCCAGAGAGATAAACCCTGCGTGGACATGGCAGAGCCCGGCTTTTGGGCCGGCCGGGACTCACATCCCGGAGGAGCCAGGGGAACGCCGCTCGCTTGACTGCCAATCTTGTTTTTATCCAGGGAATGTCGTTTTTAAACGGGGAATGTTTTTTTTAACCGGGGCGCCGGGATCGGAGGGGTTGCTTGGACATTGGGACATTGGCGTCGCCTCGTAAGGGATTTCTTCTCCTTTTTTTTTTTTTTTTTTTTTTGTTATTTTCCTGGGAAAGCGGCCAAGCCATTTCCCACAGCGCGTGGTGGTGATCCCGGAGCCGCGCGAGCCCGCGGTATTGCCGGGGGTGGGGGGGCTGTTTTGGCCGGGGGGGATTGCGTTCCGCTGGCTCCCCCCCTGTTCCCGACCCGGGACCGGCCATGGCGTTGAAAGCCAGAGCGCTTTACAACTTCCAGAGCGAAAACAAAGAGGAAATCAGCATCCAGGAGAACGAGGAGCTCGTCATCTTCAGCGAGAACTCCCTGGACGGGTGGTTACAGGGCCAAAACAGCCGTGGGGAGACCGGCCTCTTCCCTGCTTCCTACGTCGAGATCCTCCGCTCCCGCTCGGGCTCCAACTACACGGACTATTCCAGCAGCCCTGTCGGTTCCCCGGGGCACGATTCCTCCTTGTACTCGGCATCCCCCAACCCTGGCATCTCCTACCAGGGCAGTTTTGAGGACGATGATGATGATGATTGGGATGACTGGGACGATGCGTGCACGGTGGTGGAGGAGCCCCGGAGCGCGCCGGGCACCAACGGGCACCCCTCGCCCAGCCTTCAGTACCCAGCGGCCTATGGCCACCACCAGCACGCCGGGTACCGGCCCAAGCCGGTGCTGGAGAGGCAGGACAGCATGAGCTCCTCCAAGAGGGGCAGTGTGGTGGGGAGAAACCTCAACCGCTTCTCCTGCTTCGTCCGCTCTGGGGTGGAAGCCTTCATCCTGGGCGACGTGCCCCTGATGTCCAAGATCGCCGAGACCTACTGCATTGAGATGGGCTCCAGAGGCCCCCAATGGAGGGCCAACCCCCACCCGTTCATCTGCTCCGTGGAGGACCCCACCAAGCAAACCAAGTTCAAGGGCATCAAGAGCTACATCTCCTACAAGCTGACCCCCAGCAACATCAACTCGCCCGTGTACCGGCGGTACAAGCACTTTGACTGGCTCTACAACCGCCTGCTGCACAAGTTCACGGTGATCTCGGTGCCCCACCTGCCCGAGAAGCAGGCCACCGGCCGCTTCGAGGAGGACTTCATTGAGAAGCGCAAGCGGCGGCTGATCCTCTGGATGGAGCACATGACCAGCCACCCTGTCCTCTCCCAGTACGAGGGCTTCCAGCACTTCCTCTGCTGCCGCGACGAGAAGCAGTGGAAGCTGGGCAAACGCCGGGCAGAGAAGGATGAGATGGTTGGCGCCAGCTTCCTCCTCACCATCCAGATTCCCACAGAGCACCAGGACCTGCAGGATGTGGAAGACCGCGTGGATGCCTTCAAGGCCTTCAGTAAGAAGATGGACGACAGCGTCATGCAGCTGACCAACGTGGCGTCAGAGCTGGTGCGCAAGCACGTCGGGGGCTTCCGGAAGGAGTTCCAGAAGCTGGGCAATGCCTTCCAAGCCATCAGCCACTCGTTCCACATGGACCCTCCCTACAGCTTGGATGCCCTCAACAACGCCATCTCCCACACGGGCAAGACGTACGAGACTGTGGGGGAGATGTTCGCTGAGCAGCCCAAGAACGACCTGTTCCTCATGCTGGACACTCTCTCCTTGTATCAAGGGCTTCTCTCCAACTTCCCAGACATCATCCACCTGCAGAAAGGTAAGGTGGCATTCTCCCCAGGAATGGCCCCATGTGAGTGGGAATGGTGTGGCAAGTGGGATGAGGAAATCCTCTGTTGGGTCATGAAGGGAATGGGGAATGAGGATGGGAGTGGGAACCACTGCCTGTGCCTCTCAGGGAGGCAGTGTGGTCCCTGCTAGCACAGCACTCCAGTCACCCCAGCCTGGGAGAGTCTGCTAGGGCTGTGGGCTCCGGAGTCTGCCCCAGTGATGCTGTGGACTCCATAACTGCTGCTGGTGCTACCCAAAGCACTGGCTGGGAGGGTCAGCATGGATGTCACTTCCCCCCAGACCATGCACAGGAGCCAGCACTGCTGCTGTTGGCTCTGGGGTGACCTGCCTGGCACCTCTTGTGCGTCCCCACCCACTGCCACTTGTCCCTCCTCATCCTCCCTTTCTGCCAAGGCAGTGGATGGGTGGCCAGCAGGGATACCAGAGCTTGCTCCCCCAGGGCTGGGACATGGCCAGACATGGCCTTGGCTTGGCCAGAGGGGTCAAGGGGGCTGTGCAGGGCAGTGGGATAGAGGACACACAGCCTCTGGGGGCAGCCAGGGTCGCACTTTTCAGGAGCATGTCCCTGCACCTCCAAGCCTAGCAGGAAGAGGTTAGCACTCCCAGGGCATCAGAGATCCCCCTGTCCCATTCCTCCCGGTTCCCTGGATTTGGTGGGATCAGAGGTGGGGAGAAGGGTCTGCTGTTCTCTCCCTGGGGCAGGCAGCAGGCAGGGAGGGCTTGGTGTCCCTTTGCACCCAGGCAGCCACCAGTGTGGGGCCAAAGTCCATACACTCCTCCCCGCCCAGCTCCCCGCAGCAGGGAGGGGACACCCACACCAGTGTCCCCAGAGTCTGGAGGAGAGGTTTCCCGCAGAAAAGGAGGTTTCCCAGGTTTTCCAGAGGTTTTCCCAGGTTTTCTTCCAGCCAGGGCTCTCTGTGTCCAAGAATGCAGGGATGTCTGTGCATCACTCCACATCCCTGGGGGAGGCTGGGAAGGTAAAGGGGGCCCGTGAGGATTCAATCGTGCCCGGGCAGCTTCCTTGCCTTTCTGCTGAGTGTTGTTTACCCATGGAGAGGGGCTGGATCCCGTCCGGAAGCGAGGCCGCGTGGGCAGAGCGGAAGGCAGGATTTGGCCTCCAAACTTTGCTTCTTCCTTCTCCTCCTCCTCTCCTCTGGGAGCAGGGCTGGCGCAGTGGGAGCACTGTAACCCCGGGTCTGGTGCTCCTGGCAAGGGGCAGTGAGAAGGGAAAAAAGCCCAGCGCGGGCCAGATCCTGTTTTTAGTTTTTTAGCCTCTGTGCTAATGAGGGGGAGGAATGCAGGGCTGGATCCAGGCAGGATTCTTTCGAAACCGAGCTGTAAAAAAACATGGAAGGAGAGAGAAAAACTGGTGTCAGAGCATCAGCTGCTTCTGAGAGTGAGAGATGCTTTCCCAGCCGAGCTCCAGACACCACATGCCCTTGTGACATCCTGGTTCACTGCTTCCTGGGGCTGGGGTCTCCCAGGGCTGCTCCTGACCCCCATTCATGGAATGGCATGGAATATTTGGAGGACAGGCTTGGCTGGGATGCTTGACTGTGCTAGCACTGCCCCACGTCAGCTTGGCGCCCCAAGCCTCGAGTCACAGCACTCCAGGAGCCCAGACCCCCAGCTATACATGAGGCTGACTGCCCAGGGATGGGATGGAAAAAGAGCTGGAGATGCCAGAGTCCAGAGGGAAAATGCTCCCGGTCTTTGCCTGCCTGGAGGAGAGGGATGGATTTGACAGGCAAGGGGAGATGCAGGCAGATCCCTCCCTTCCATGGGGCAGGTCTGTGCCTCTGCTTTGGGGCCAGGCCAGCGTCCCGGCACGGGGGAGGCGATGGGATCAAGCGGGGCTGCCCAGGGAAGGGGGCCCGAGGGTCGCACGGATCCCCTGACGCTGCTCCCTGCCTCGCCAGGCGCCTTCGCCAAGGTGAAGGAGAGCCAGCGGATGAGCGACGAGGGCAGGATGGACCAGGAGGAGGCGGACGGGATCCGCAAGCGCTGCCGCGTGGTGGGCTTCGCCCTGCAGGCCGAGATGAACCACTTCCACGAGCGGCGCGTGGCCGACTTCAAGAGGATGATGCAGTCCTACCTGAGGCAGCAGATCATCTTCTACCAGCGCGTCAGCCAGCAGCTGGAGAAGACGCTGCGCATGTACGACAACCTCTAACGCCTCCTCCCGCTCTGCCCGCAGCCCCTCGGGCCTCCTGTGTCCAGGACAGGCTGAGAATGGACGGGAACTCAACACGCTAGTGACCAAATGACTCGGGGCTTTCTTCCCCCTTCCCAGGCTGGCAGGAAAGGGCTCACCCGCGGACTGGCCGTGCCACCTCTCTCTTTCCCTGGGGACCTCCC